GCTCTTAGGCCTTTCTGGATCGCGGAGCTCCTGTTCGTCGCACTTTTCGTTCCGCTCCGGGCTTTGGCAGCAGGCGCGGGACGGACTTTTGGAACCCAGCAGTCGTCACCCGGAATGAGTCTATCGCTCCGGAGCGCACATGTCGCTATGTTAAAGCATATCAAGTGCTGATACCTTATAGCATATGCCCCGCATCGGAGGCGGCGCCGTCGACGAGCACCGCAGCGCNAGATCGATCTTGGGCTTTTCTGGGTCGCGGAGCTTCTTCTCGATGCATTTTTCTGTTTTCCTCTAGCACTGGCATCGACCATGGGCGCGTGGCGAAGCTGGCTGAGCAGGGGCAGCAGCAGAAGCGGCGCGTGCGGTAGCGCGCGCTGCTGCAGCGCTAGCGCCAGCGCTCATGGATGCCGACGCATTGCACTGATGGTGTCACANGATGGGGCTTGCTAGAACGCGCGCTGAGCTACAGCAAGCAGGCACGGCACCAAAAGCCGCCTGCAGCTACTGCGTGCTGTTTGAGGCGCCTGCGCAATGCCTCCACCCGCGGCCAGCACCAGCTCTGCAACTGCGCAAAGGCAGCCATGTAGCAGCACATGCTCTCAACTACACAAAGCCAGCAGCAAAAGCCACAGCAAGCAGGCGCGGCGCCAAAAGCCGCAGTCACAAACGAGCCAGTCCCCGGCGGACTAAAGCGCATCACACAATGGCAGTTGCCAAGCGCACCAAGCAGGCGCGATGCCGAAAGGCGCAGTCAGAAGCAAGCCAGTCCCCGGCGGTTAAACGAGCGGCTCACTGCCGGGGAGCGGCATCGCTGCTGCACTGGACACTAATAGAGCTCGCTAGACAGCGGCGAACAAGCACAAGCATGGCTCCGAAAGCCGCAGGCAAAAGCGAGCCGCTCCCCGGCAGACAAACAGGCGGCCAGGCGGGGCGGGGCGGGGCGGGCGGCTCGGGTGCTGCGCCGCTGAGGCGCGCCTTGTTTTCCTCTGTGCAGCCGTGCTATTCACCCGTACTGGGCACAAGTGCTTTGGCCGGAACGGGCAGTTGCGCATGGTCGTCGAAGCGCAGCCGCAGTGATCCCGACTTGGGCGCCAACGCTCGTAGAAGTTGGCCGCTCGTGGCTTGATTGTCGGTGGAATAGATTGTCGCGTACCAGTGCGGTGTGCATGCGCATATGGCTGTTGAGTAGCACTGCCCTTGATCTGGATCACGCGGGCTCGATCTCGAGGCGTTGCTGAATGGTCAGCGCGCGCCACCACGAGGTCGAGTCTGAAGATGGACAAGCAACTGAGGTGTGCATCCATCAGAAGAGGATGTCGGCTCAAGCGACACCCAGCCAGTAGGCGTGTTGCGGTATGTATATGTCAGTTCAAGGACAGAGATGCTGTCCGGCTTAAGCGTGTTTCTACGTGCGCCGTGCAGGCCTATAGCGACGACGACGACTTCCAGGAGGCCCGCGTGAAACGCCGCACCGCCGGGCGACGCTCGCAGCTGGAGCTTGCGGGCAACGCCCGCGGCGGCCGGGGCATGGTGATGGATTCTACGCCCAGCGGCTCACCAATCCAGGTGCGGCGCCCAGTCCAGAAGCATGGCACTCTGTCGAACGGCAGGCTTGAGGCAGCACGCATCATTGTGACGGCTGTCGGGCGCTGGTTCAAACGCCCGGCGATCCGCCCTGCTGGGGTCGCCGCAGGGCCGCGGGCGCCCGCGCGGCGGCGGCTCGAGGCTTGCAAGGGCGCCGGACAAGCAGCAAGCGGCGCCTGCTCACCAGAGGCCCCCGCGAGGCTCTCGAAAGGTGTGCTGCAGTCTGACCTGGATTACCCACTCCCACTTTGCATGAGGCTCTGCACCCTGAGACGCAGCATGCGTGACTCCCTTGATGAACCTTTGGGACATCCGATTTGGCCTGGCCTAGATTAATCTTACTGTTGATGTACATAGCAGCATGCGCGTTGCTGTTCGGGGTTCCGGGAATCCTGTGCACACCTAGGGCGTGCCACGTCGGCTCCTCCCAGGTTTATGCTGAGCTGTCGTCAGACGGCTTCGACGGCGCGCTGGACGACTCATCCGACAGCGACGCGGCGCACACGGCCCAGGCGGGCGGCCGGGCTGCGCGCGGCGGCGGCGCAACCGCGGGCGGTGGCGGCGGCGGCGGCAATGGTGGCGGTGGCGGCGGTGGCGGCGGCAGGGGCGGAAGCGAAGCGGGCCTGCGCAGGCGCGGCGAAGGCGACGGGGGGCACGTTATTGGTGCAGAGGCGGATGTTATAGAGGAGGAGGGGCAGCAGGAGCAAGAGCAGCAGCAGGAGGGAGGCGGGAGGGATGGCAAAGGAGACGGACACGACGGGGAGCCCGGCAGGTATCCCCGGCGCGTCCGCGGAGCTGCCTCAGAGGACCCCCCCTACAACGGCCGGGGCGCGGCCGGCGAGCAGCAGGCGCGCGCGCGAGACGGCGACCGGCGTCGCGGCCGCGCCCCCTCAGCGTCGCAGACGCACTCGCCCGCCGCGGCGC